ATTTCACTATGTTGACTAGGCTGGTCTTGAACTCCTGGACTCAAGTGATCCAAGTAGCAAAAGCTACAGGTGTGCACCACCATGACCAGCTAATTTATTTTTTGTAACATGAGAGCTTGCTGTGTTGCCCAGGCTGGTCTCAAACTCTTGGCCTCAAGTGATCCTCCCATCTTACCCTCCCAGAGTTCTGGAGTTGCATGTGTGAGCTGCTGTGCCTGGCCTGGTAGGTCAGAATTTCTTGAGGTGGTAGACTTTCTGCAGTGGATTCATCTGGCATGACTCTTCTTTCTGAAGTATACAAAGATTAATTCCAAATGGATTAAATATATGTGTGTGGGGGAAAAAATATATATATTATATATATATATATATATATATATATATATATATATAAAATATATATTTTTTTTTTTTTTTTTTTTGAGTTGGAGTCTTACTCTGTCGCCCAGGCTGGAGTGCAGTGGCACGCTGAGGACCACTGCAGCCTCAACCTGCTGGGCTCAGGCAATCATTCTGCCTCAGCCTTTCAAGTAGCTGGGACTATAGGCGTGTGCCACCCGTCTGGCTAATTTTTTGATTAATTGTAGAGGTGAGGTCTTGCCAAGTTGCCCAGGCTGGTTTTGAACCTGTGGGCTCAGGCCGTCTTCTCACCTTGGCCTCCCAAAGTGCTGGGATTATAGGTGTGAGCCACTACACCCGGCCAGATTAAATATTTAAGTGAATAAAAATATAAAAGTAATAGAAGTAAATTTAAAAGAATAATCGAACAATCTTGGCATTTACAACAGACATTCCCTGGTCATGAAGGAAAAGAGATGTATTTGACTAAATAAAGATGAAAATTTTTTTGTATGGTTCTTTTTTAGCCTCTGGGGCTATCGATGGTAATTGAATTTGTGCTCAATGGAACTGATGTTCAAGTAAGATGTGTGGACTTAAAAAATAAATAATTTCAGAAGCTCTGGGCACTGTGGTACGTGACTCCCAGCTACTTGGGAGTCTGAGGCAAAAGGATCACTTGAGCATAGGAGTTCAAGACCTGCCTGGGCAACATAGCAAGACTTTGTCTCAAAAATAAATAAAAAATTCTGGTATTGGTAAATTCTGCAAAGAAACCAAGAGAATGTGTTGAAAGAGAATGTGTTGCTTTGGATAGGTGGTCCAAAGAGAATGTGTTGCTTTGGATAGGTGGTCAGAGTAGACGTAGTTGAAGAGGTGATACTTGGTTGTGACTCGAATGACGAGAAGAAGGGAGCCACACAAAATTTCCAGCCAGAGATGAGGTGGGTGCGTTGAGGGACAGAAGGAAGGCCAGTGTGGCTGGAGTATAAGGGGAAAGTGGTAAGAAATGCAGTTTGAGAGGCAGGAAGAGGCCAGCTGGATACAGCCCTGTAGGCAGGAGAGTTGACAGGACCTGACATACACCTGTGAAGATCATTGTGGCAGTCTTGTGGAAAACTGATTGTAGGGGGTGTTGTGGCTTGATTAGTGTTCCTAAAAAGATATGTTGAAGTCCTAGCCTCTGGGATCTGTGAATGAGAACTTATTTGGAAATACAGCTTTGCAGATGTAATTCAGGTTAAGATAAGATCATACTGAATTAGAATGGGCCCTGATCCAACAACTGGTGTCTTTATACGAAGAGGGAAATTTGGATACAGGCAGACCCAGAGGGACCATGGCCTGTGAAGAAGAAGGCAGAGATTGGAGTGATGTATCTGCAAGTCAGAGAACACTAAGGATGGCCAGCAACCACCACAAACAAGGAAGAGGCAAGGAAGAATCCTCCCCTAGAACTTTCTAAGTGAAAACATTTCTGACTTTCCGTTTCTAGAATTGTGAGACAATCGATTTCTGTTGTTTAAGCTACTCAGTTTGTGGTAATTTGTTGCATCAGCCCTAGGAATCTAATAGAGTGGCAAATGTGACGACGGTGGGATTATTTAGGGGTCTGGAAGCTATGGAGATGGAGAGGAGCAGCCAGATTTGGAATATATTTTCAGGAAGAACATCTTGAACTTTCTGATGAATTAGGTGTGATATGATTTTACAAGAATGAATCAAGGATGATACTTAGATATGCTTAGATGCTTAGATATTTTTCTTGAGCAGCTGGTAGTTTACTGAACGAGGGAAGGCAGATAAAGGAACAGAATATATACTGTTGGGAATTAAATGTTTTTGTTTTATTTTTTATTTTGAAATAATATCAAACTTGTGTAAAAGTTATAAGAATGTACAAAAAACTTTCATCCCCAATTGTTAACATTTTTCCTGATATGTATTTTGATTCTCTTTCTCTTTGTCTCTCTCTCTCTCTCTCTCTCTCTCTCTCTCTCTCTCTATATATATATATATATATATATATATATATATATATATTTTAATGTGTGTACCAAGGAGTGCCAAAAACAGTATACACATTTTAAGATGTGTATTTTTGCTTTTAGTTCGCCAGAATCAGAAATGTCTGAATGCTGATGGTCACCACTTTGAGCACCTCTTGTAATTGCAGAAGTCAAACGTGACTTGTATTTATCTTTTGTCATCAGTATTATTGAGTATTACAGTTTTTCCTTTCTTAAAATGTGTATACTTTTTGGGCACCCTTTGTATATACCTATACACACATATTAATAATAGTAACAATTTTTGAATCAGGGTCCTATTTTGAACGTGATAAGTTTTAGATGTCAGACAACTAAGTTGGTTAAATGAGTCTGAAGCTTACGAGAGAAGTCAGGGCTGGAGTTATAAGTTTGGTGGTTATTGGCATATAAATGTAATTAAAGCCATGGTACTGGCTGAGATCGTTTAGGTAAAAATTGAGGATAAAGAAAGAAAGACAAGGACAATTGCTACACAGATATTAAACAGCAATGAAGAGTTAACAGAAGAGATGGAGAAGGTCTACCCATTTAAAACAGGAAGAAACCAGGAAACTGAGATATTAAG